CCTCGAGGGACTTTTTCCACGGTCTCCAGAAACGTCCACAGATCCCTGGATTGGGATCATCATATCTTGCATCCAATCCCGGCTAACTTCCAGAAAGGTAGAGTAACCAATAGCGTTAGCAATAACAAGTAAACCAAGTCCCGTCCCAGGACTAACAAAAATCACTCGCTCTAGGCATGACCTCGCTCGCGATTATTATTGGCATTGATTTGCCGCCATATTCATTCATTCATTCATTTTCTTGTCGGCTTAGTCCCTTTATTAATCTGGGGTCGCCCAGCGGAATGAACCGCCAACTTACCCAGCAAGTTTTTACACAGCGGATGCCCACCGTGTGCCTTTTTCTGAGAGTGTACCATTATCAGTGTTAAATGTATTCAAACAAACATCTATACATATTGAACTTAACATATGATGATATATATTTGTATATAAAACACATAGTCGAGAAATAATTTGCATGCTTCAACATTACAAACCAGCCTTCTGTCTGTCAAGCTTTTTACATTCAAAACGTTTCATGTGTTGGGGGTTTTAAAGAATTTAGAGGAATGCTGTTTCGCACAAAAAATACAGGTGTGTCGAGTTAAAACAGTGGCAAAGGGTTTCTGAGCCTCTCATACTCTGTCAACAGACATGTTAGACATTATCTAAAGTTTTGTACGTTTCAATTCAATTCATCTTTATTTCTATAGCGCTTTCACAATGTGTCAAAGCAGCTGAACATAGTAAATTGTTTAGTTTAGTTCAGTTAAGTGTGGTTTAATTTTCACTGCTGAAAATCCAAACACTGAAGAGCAAATCCATCGATGCGCAGCTCCACAAGTCCCAAACCAAGCAAGCCAGTGGTGACAGTGGAGAAACAAACTTCACCGATTGACGAAAGTGAAAGAAAAACCTGGAGGGAAACCAGGCTCAGTTAGGCACGACTATTTCTCCTCTGTCCATACCTCTTGTGCAGAGAGGTTAAACTGCCGGAGTATTAAACCAATTCATTATTTTTGCTGACATTATGCATTATAACTTATTAAAGGTCTCCAAAATTGACATTTAGAAGATATAAACCCGATATAAAGCTGAAAAGCTTGCAGTTTGTCACTTCTGACTGAATGGATCAACATTTTTTCTTCACCACATGCTTCAGTTTCTCATCAAATCTTCTGAATAATTAAATCTGACATGCTCCAACATGCTATCTGACAGCTTAAAGACGGCTCTCATATGGAGAATGAAGTCACGTGCACTGCTCAGGTGTGAGTTTCTCAGACTTCAACAGAGTGTAAAAATCTTGATGGTTCTGTGGGTCTCGTCTATCAAATCTGAGCTTTATTCTGTATTCTCTATTGGATTGGGCTCAGGTGATTGGCTGGGCCATTCTACAGCTTGATTTTCTTTCTCTGAAAGCATCTGAGAGTCTTCTCGGCTGTGTTTTGGATCATCGTCTTGCTGAAATGTCCACCCTGGGTTCATCTTCATCCTCCTGCTAATGTAGATGTTGGACTGAAGCAGCTGATATTCATATACACTGAGCAAGGGCAGAGGGTTGCTGAAGAACAACTGAGAGATTTCAGCTGCTCTCTGGGCTTTCACTGCTAAACTACACCTCCCTTTCTTCATGTGTTCAATACTTTTTCCCTGCGTCATTTAATTTTATTACGCATAACTTAATTTGTAAACTAATTAGATTTGTTTTCTTTGGTTGTTACCAACATTTGGTGAAAAGTCAACAGCTCCTTTAGGTTTTCTGAGAAAAATGGTGACATGCCCAATACTTATTTCCCCAACTGTATATGTAGTTTTCTACAGAAAAAGAAAAAAATTCTAAAAGTGAATTCATTTATATGAATCTTGGATTTCAAGCCCACAAAGACCGTGTGTTTCACAATGTGTGAAATCAGCATACTTCAGCAGCATATCCAGCTGACACCGGACTGTACGAGTCCTCAAACCTGACGTCAGCTCATAACTCATCATCACATCTTCAAGTCAACTCAAAGCTGAGGCTAAAGTCCTGATCACGTAACAGTAGAAATCTGCTGTAAACTTTGTCCCGTTCGTGACATTCATGCTGAGCTTCACGTCAGTTTACTCGAGAGTTTTTCTCAGTACATCACTGCTTGAAGGGTTATAAAAAAATAAGACATGGCATTTTTGCACAGGGTATGATTGACATGACTGACCGTTGCCCTGTATAGGTCATCAGTAAATGAAGTCACACTTTATTTTAAGGTACCTCTAAGGAGGTTTGTTTAGTCATGTGAGCTGAAATCAAGTCCACTCATCAGGCAACATAACCATGCCAACCAGTTCCCAGCATTGCAGGACCAAATGAAGTGTGTAAATGTGAGCGTTCAATCATTAACCCTGGACAGATGTTCACACGGACTCTTCATTCTTCTTCTCCATCACTCCTCCATGTTATTTTGTATTTGTCCTACATGGCCGTTGAAAGCTTGATTCTGATTGGCTGATGAAGATGTGCTGCAGGCACACAAAGTCATAAAACGTTACTATTTGGTTAGATTCAGGTCATGATGTCAGGTGACCAAAATTCAATGTCTAGTCAGTGTCTAAGGATAACGATAATGACGTTGAAAATTGATTGACTTTAGGTTTTGTTAAATCCAATATTGAGACCAACATCTTAAATCAGCGTCATATTGATGTCAAACACTGACATTTATTTGTCATGGCAACCAAACTCCAACGTCTGATAGACGTCATAGTGGTAACGTTCACACAACGTCAAGCTGTAACATCATTAGAAGTTGATATTTGGTTGATTTTTGGTTGTGTTAAATCCAACAACAAGCCAATATCTTAAACCAACGTCATACTGACATCAAATACTGACATTTATACGTCATGGGAACCAAAATCCAACGTATGATAGACGTCATAGTGGTAACGTCCACGTAACGTCAAGCTGTATCATCTTTTTATATTTGGTTGATTTTAGGTTGTGTTGAATCCAACATCGAACCAACATCTTAAACCAACATCATATTGTTGTCAAATGCTGACATTTATTCGTCATGGCAACCAAAATCCATCGAATGACAGATGTCATAGTGGTAACGTCCACACAACGTCAAGCTGTAACATCATTAGACGTTTATATTTGGTTGGTTTTAGGTTGTGTTGAATCCAACATCGAACCAACATCTTAATCCAACATCATAGTGACGTCATATACTGACATTTATTCGTCATGGCAACCAAAATCCACTGAATGATAGACGTCATAGTGGTAACGTCCACACAACGTCAAGCTGTAACATCATTAAACGTTGATATTTGGTTGGTTTTAGGCTGTGTTGAATCCAACATCGAACCGACATCTTAATCCAACATCATAGTGACGTCATATACTGACATTTATTCGTCATGGCAACCAAAATCCACTGAATGATAGACGTCATAGTGGTAACGTCCACACAACGTCAAGCTGTAAAATTCTTAGACGTTTATATTTGGTTGATTTTAGGTTGTGTTGAATCCAACGTCGAACCAACATCTTAAACCAACATCATATTGTTGTCAAATGCTGACATTTATTCGTCATGGCAACCAAAATCCATCGAATGATAGACGTCATAGTGGTAACGTCCAGACAACGTCAAGCTGTAACATCATTAGACGTTGATATTTGGTTGGTTTTAGGTTGTGTTGAATCCAACATCGAACCAACATCTTAATCCAACATCATAGTGACGTCATATACTGACATTTATTCGTCATGGCAACCAAAATCCACCGAATGATAGACGTCATAGTGGTAACGTCCACACAACGTCAAGCTGTAACATCATTAGACGTTTATATTTGGTTGGTTTTAGGTTGTGTTGAATCCAACATCGAACCAACATCATAGTGACGTCATATACTGACATTTATTCGTCATGGCAACCAAAATCCACCGAATGATAGACGTCATAGTGGTAACGTCCACACAACGTCAAGCTGTATCATCTTTAGACGTTTATATTTGGTTGATTTTAGGTTGCGTTGAATCCAAAATCGAACCAACATCTTAAACCAACATCATATTGACGTCATATACTGACATTTATTCGTCATGGCAACCACAATCCATCGAATGACAGACGTCATAGTGGTAACGTCCAGACAACGTCAAGCTGTAAAATTCTTAGACGTTCATATTTGGTTGATTTTAGGTTGCGTTGAATCCAAAATCGAACCAACATCTTAAACCAACATCATATTGACGTCATATATTGACATTTATTCGTCATGGCAACCAAAATCCATCGAATGACAGATGTCATAGTAGTAACGTCCACACAACGTCAAGCTGTAACATCATTAGATGTTGATATTTGGTTGGTTTTAGGTTGTGTTGAATCCAACATCGAACCAACACCTTAATCCAACGTCATAATGACGTAAAATACTGACATTTATTTGTCATGGCAACCAAAATCCAACGAATGATAGACATGTTTTATTTATTTATTTATTTATTTATTCATTCATTTAATAGTGGTAACGTCCACACAACGTCAAGCTGTAACATCATTAGACGTTGATATTTGATTGATTTTAGGTTGGACGTTGGACACTGACATCATTCTGACGTAGGGTTCTGACGTTAACTCGAACTTTATCTACAAACAAAATGCAATGTCACTACGACGTTGGGGTACAATGCCAATCTGATGATGATGTCTTGTGCCTGCTGGGTAAGGTGTGGCTGTATTTTCAGATAAACACACAGATAAAGTAGTTCAGGCAGCTTTTGTTTTTGCTTTGAAATACGATTATTTCTCTTACCCCATTGGCAGATTTTTTCTTCACTTTACTTCAGAAAGATTCACTTTCCTTTAGCTGTTTTACACAGTAGTCGCTGTGCAATCACAGGATTCTGTTCTCCCGCTTGTATCTCTGCATAGATACATGGATTCATCTGAGAAGAAGCAAATTTTTGGGATCTCAAAGGTGATTGTATTGTTATTGATTGTAGATGTTTGTATTGTCAGGCCGCCATGCAGACATATGAATGCAAAGGGCAGGAGGTCTTCTCCAACGGCAGCGCTGGACATATGAACGGCAGAGATGCGACCAGGATGAGGGAAGTCGCCTTTGAGAAGAACCCGTCTGAACCGCTGGTACACTTTCTGTTTTTGTGCACTTCTTTTCTGAGCCAGTTTCTCTCATTGTTGTTCAGCTCCAAATAAAAAAAGTGAGGCTGAATGGAGGAGGCTTGTTCTTTATCCTCGCGCTGCAGATGCTCTGTTTAACTGTTTGCGTTCAGTTTTAACACTTACAGAGTCACCATGTAAAGAGCAAATGCTCTACAGCATGACACAACTGACTCTTGAAAGGAATGAGAGATGAGACTCTGATTGGTTCAATGCACGTTATGCTCAAAACACATCCATAACTCATTAGGAGAATAAACACAACCCTGTTAGACCATGCATTGCGGCACAGACCGCAATTTTCAGTCCTTAAAATAGCAAAAGTGAATTCGGACATGCCCATTTTACGCAGCTTCTGCTTTCTGAGCTTTAGACTTTGCGCTTAGATCTTTAAAATAGAGCCAAATAAATCAAATTTTGCAAAAATTGTGTGATCAATGGGCAAAAACTGTAATATGACCTTTATAATACTGATAACCATGACAATTTTGTTTACCATAATTGTGATATGAAATGTTTATACGGCTACATCTCTAATTGTGCTGTATGCTTTCAGGGAGTAACTTTAAAGCTGAATGAGAAGCAGAGGTGTACAGTGGCCAGAATACTGCACGGAGGAATGATACACAGACAAGGTTCAGTGTGTGTGTGTGTGTGTGTGTGTGTGTGTGTGTGTGTGGTACATTGTATTACTTACACTGTGGGTACCAAATGTTCCCACAAGTATAGCAATACCAGTACAATTTGGCCTCATGGGGACATTTTTGTTGGTCCCCATGAGGTAAACGGCTCATAAATCAAACAGAATGAAGTATTTTAAAAATGTTGAAAACATTAGTAACACTGTTTTTCATTTCTTAAAAAACAGGTTCTTTACATGAAGGGGATGAGATTGCAGAAATCAACGGGAAAAGTGTTTCTAATCAAAGTGTAGACCAGCTGCAGAAGATTCTGGTGGGTATTGAAGTCCTTTGTTTGTAAAGAATAAATACATTTTAGCATGGTTAAAAAGAGCATGTATTAGAGAAATAAATTACTTTGAAATGATGCAATGCTATTGGATACTCAATTGCATTTATTTACAAATGATTGTAGTGCAGTCTAAAACTCTTATGTGTGGGTAAAAATTACACCCTAATACACTGCTTTATTTATTTATTTATTTATTTATTTATTTATTTATTTATTTATTTATTTGTTTATTTGTTTGTTTACTTATGTATTTATTTTATTATATATTTATTCATTTATTTATTTTTTATTAATGTATTTGTTTGTTTATTTATTTATTTATTTATTTATCTATTTATTTATTTATTTATGTATTTATATATAAATTACTTAATTTATTTGTTTGTTTACTTATTAATTAAATAATTTGTTTGTTTACTTATTTATATATTTATTTATATATGAATCACTTAATTAATTTGTTTGTTTGTTGACTTATTTATTTGTTTACTTATTAATTAAATAATTTGTTTGTTTACTTATTTGTTTGTTTGTTTGTTTACTTATTTTTTATTTGTTTGTTTATTTATTTACGTATTTATGTTTGTACTTTCATTTTAGTTGTCTTTTATTTCTTTAGTTTTAATTTCCAAAAGGAATCCTCATTGCACTTAGCAATCATAATAAAGCTTGTTAAGTGGATTTTATGATTTATGAAGGAATTATACTGCTTTGTTTTGTTATTTCATCTTCATTTTCAAGTAGCAGGGTATTTACAGCTACTGTTTATTTCTGTTAATACTTTCTGTGCACTCTAAGGTAAAAAAGGACAGTTCCTAGTTCTTATCATGGATGTCAATGGCTGCTTTTTCCCAACATTCTTCAAAATATCTTTTTTTGTGTTCAACAGACGAAATAAGCTTGTTTAGAACTGTGTGTAAATGAGGACATTTTCATTTTTTGGGTGAACTGTCCCTTTAAGTAACCTTCAAAAGTGTTTGTGTGTGCACATTTACTGTGATTTGACGTGTTTCTATACTGTTCCACATAACAGAAAGACACAAACGGCGTCGTCACGCTGAAAATCATCTCCAATCAGCAAAGTCGACCAATGGCGTGTGAGGTGAGTAAAACATCCGCGTCACATTTGACCAATACCCTGCTTCCATTTGTGTTTCATGATCACAATCGACTGCATCTGCAAATACTCCCTCTAATGGGGTTTGATCACTTCTTTCTTTATCTGCCTATTCTGTATGCTTGATTAAATAAAGGTGTGGGGTTTATCATGAGAAAGCAGTGAAATGCACAGGTGACTATTAAATCGACAGTAGCAGAGAATAACTGTAGATTTACTCACTCATTCAGATAATCTTCTGCCATCTGCTGGTCACACAGCGTCAAACACGAGTTAAAGGGATAGTTCACCCACAAATGAACATGCACTCAGTGTTTACTCATTCTCAAGTGGTTCCAAACCTTTAGGAGTTTCTTTTAAACACGAAAGAAGATATTTTGAAGAATGTAGAAAACCGGTAACCATTGACTTCTACTGTAGCTAATTCTATGGAAGTCAATGGTTACCGGTTTTCAGCTCGTTTCTTCCAAAGCCATGTCCAAAGTGTCTTCTTTTGTGTTCAGCAGAATAAAGAAACTCATAAAGGTTTGGATCAAGTAAAAGGGTGAGTAAACAATGACTGATTTTGTGTTATTTGGTGAACTGTCTCTTTAAATTAAGCAGACGGTGACCATGTGATGAGCTGTTGTAGTTTTCTTCTTTCATTATATAACAGAAACCATTCTGATATTGTAATGTTTGATCACGTAGATCCTTCTAGAACTCTGCTTATAGACTATAGTGACATAGTTGTAGTTATAGATCTGTCTGTCTGTTTGTCTGTGTGTAATTGTTTGTACCTTTGTCTGTTTTATATATGACATGTATTTAACATTATATTACATACAGCACACACTATTTATTTATTTTGTTTGTTTATGCTCAATGAAAAAATAATAATTTTTAAATGTTTTTTTTTTATTATTTACTTTAAATGTATTCATTTATTTTAAACTAAATAAAAAAATAATAATTAATTATCTTTAATTGTATTATTTTATTTTGTATTATTATTTATTTTTAATTAAACTTATTCATTTAGTTTACATTTTATTTATTTATTTTAAACTTAATAAAATAAAATAGTTAATTGTTTTTAATTGTATTATTTTATTTTGTAATATTATTTATTTTTAATTAAACTTATTCATTAATTTTACATTTTATTTATTTATTTTAAACTATATAAAATAAAACAATTGTTTTTAATTATATTATTTTATTTTGTAATATTATTTATTTTTAATTAAACTTATTCATTAATTTTACATTTTATTTATTTACTTATTTTAAACTAAATTAAATAAAATATTTAATTATTTTAATTGTATTATTTTATTTTGTATTATTATTTATTTTTAATTAAACATATTTATTTATTTTATATTTTATTTATTTATTTATTTATTTTAAACTAAATTTAATCATTAATTATTTTTAATTATTATATTTTATATTATTTATTTTTAATTAAACTTATTCATTAATTTTACATTTTATTTATTTACTTATTTTAAAATAATTAAATAAAATAATTAATTATTTTTAATTGTATTATCTATTTTGTATTATTATTTATTATTAATTAAACATATTTATTTATTTTGCATTTTATTTATTTATTTATTTTAAACTAAACAAAATAATTAATTATTTTTAATTATTATATTTTATATTATTTATTTTTAATTAAACATATTCATTTATCTAACAATTGTATTTATTTGTTTTAAATTAAATAATTGTTTATTTTTAATTGTATTATTTTACTTTGCATTGTTTGATTTTTAATTACTTTAAAAATAAATAAAACTAATTTAATTACTTAATTTTAATTACTTATTTTAAGCTAAATTAAATTTATTTATTGTATTATTATTTTTTATTAATTTTATCAATTTATTTTAAATGTTTTGTATTTATTCTTTTTAATTAAACATATTTATTTTTGATTACATTTATTATTGAAATATTTTTTATTTATTTATGTATTTTTCAGATGTTAGTTAAGGAGATGCACCAATGTGTCAGCCAATAATCAATATCGGCTGATCAATGTAATTAGTTATTGTTTAAAAAAAAAGTCAATGATAACATGGTTAATTTTGGTCACTGTAAGAGAGTACCTTTAAAGCAGCTCATGTCTGTGATCAGAGATCTCCCTTCACAAAAGTATGTTATGCACATTTTAAAAAGTTGATGCACATCCTGGGAGTTTTGCATTAAGCATTTTTTATGCAATATTCCAAATTTACATGAAAAGAGGTGGATTGGAAACAGCAACTGACAGACACTATGTATTTCAGTGGCTGCCGTTTTCTCCCGTGTTTAACAGAGGAAAGAAACGGGTTTGGAACCCTAACCCTAACGAGTAAACGATGAGACAATTAAGCATGTTCTGTGAACCTTTTCCCTAAAAAAAGTCATTTTTATAAACTGTCCTTTTCATATTTATAGTGTTTACTATTTATAGTAAACACTAGAGCGTTTTAAACCATACTATAGTAAATAACTTGACTTAATCTGTTGTGGTAATTCTATAATTGATATGATAACAAATAGCAAAAATATTAATTTAAACAAACTACCTAAAACTTGTACATCTGGAGGTTATATTACACTAAAACACACCAACGTTTACTGTACTAAAATCTGAAGTATTCTACATGATTTAATCTCGTTTTTCAGTTAGCTAGTTAATACTACAGTATGTTGTACCATTAACCAAGTGTTGTAAATATTATAATATAACCTTTACCATTTACACTCTATAGTATTTACTATAAATGACTATAGTATTTTTTCAAGTGTTGAATCATCTTAATTCAGACAGTGGTTTGTAATGTTTATGTAGATGTATATGAGAGCACAGTTCGACTATGACCCAGCCAAAGATGAGCTCATCCCGTGTAAAGAAGCAGGCCTGAAGTTCCAGACGGGCGACATTATTCACATTATCAACAAGAAGGATCCCAACTGGTGGCAGGGGAAAGTGGACAGTTCCTCCACAGACTTCGCTGGACTCATCCCTTCTCCAGAACTGCAGGAGTGGTGCGTTCAATGCCTACATTTTTATAAAACGTAAAATACGTTGTGTTGCACGTTTCAGATGGCAAATCCACTAGAGGGTGCTGTCTAGATTTTAAAAAATTTGAAATGCGTTAAGAGTACATTTTGTTGCACGTTTTAGATTACAAATCCATCAGAGGGTGCTGTCTACATGTTTGCGAACCTGAAATACGTTACTTAGGGTGTGTTTTGTACGTTTCAGATGACAAATCCACTAGAGGGCGCTGTCTATATGTTTGTGAATCTGAAGTACGTTACTTAGGGTACGTTTTGTTGTACATTTCAGATGACAAATCCATTTGAGAGTGCTATTTACATGTTTGCAAACCTGAAATACGTTACTTAGGGTACATTTTGTTGCATGTTTTAGATGACGAATCCCTTAGAGGGTGCTGTCTACATTTTTGTGAATCTGAAATACGTTACTTAGGGTGTGTTTTGTACGTTTCAGATGACAAATCCACTAGAGGACGCTGTCTATGTTTGTGAATCTGAAATACTTTACTTAGGGTGTGTTTTGTTGTACGTTTCAGATGACGAATGCACTAGAGGGCGCTGTCTATATGTTTGTGAATCTGAAGTACGTTACTTAGGGTACATATTGTTGTACGTTTCAGATGACAAATTCATTTGAGGGCGCTGTTTACATGTTTGCAAACCTGAAATACGTTTTTTAGGGTACATTTTGTTGCATGTTTTAGATGACGAATCCCTTAAAGGATGCTGTCTACATTTTTGTGAATCTGAAATACGTTATTTAGGGTACGTTTTGTTGTACTTTTTAGATGATGAATTCACTAGAGAGCAATGTCTACATTATTGTAAATATAAAATACGTTACTTATTGTATGTTTTGTTGCATGTTTCAGATGACGAATCCATTAGAGAGCGCTTTCTACATGTTTGCGAACCTGAAATACGTTACTTAGGGTGTGTTTTGTACGTTTCAGATGACAAATCCACTAGAGGACGCTGTCTATATGTTTGTGAATCTGAAGTACGTTACTTAGGGTGTGTTTTGTTGTACGTTTCAGATGACGAATGCACTAGAGGGCGCTGTCTATATGTTTGTGAATCTGAAGTACGTTACTTAGGGTACGTTTTGTTGTACGTTTCAGATGACAAATTCATTTGAGGGCGCTGTCTATATGTTTGTGAATCTGAAATACGTTACTTAGGGTGTGTTTTGTACGTTTCAGATGACAAATCCACTAGAGGACGCTGTCTATGTTTGTGAATCTGAAATACTTTACTTAGGGTACGTTTTGTTGTACGTTTCAGATGACAAATCCATTTGAGGGCGCTGTTTACATGTTTGCAAACCTGAAATACGTTACCTAGGGTACATTTTGTTGCATGTTTTAGATGACGAATCCCTTAGAGGGTGCTGTCTACATTTTTGTGAATCTGAAATACGTTATTTAGGGTACGTTTTGTTGTACCTTTTAGATGATGAATTCACTAGAGAGCAATGTCTACATTTTTGTAAATCTAAAATACGTTACTTAGTGTACGTTTTGTTGCATGTTTCAGATGACGAATCCATTAGAGAGCGCTTTCTACATGTTTGCGAACCTGAAATACGTTACTTAGGGTGTGTTTTGTACGTTTCAGATGACAAATCCACTAGAGGACGCTGTCTATATGTTTGTGAATCTGAAGTACGTTACTTAGGGTGTGTTTTGTTGTACGTTTCAGATGACGAATGCACTAGAGGGCGCTGTCTATATGTTTGTGAATCTGAAGTACGTTACTTAGGGTACGTTTTGTTGTACGTTTCAGATGACAAATCCACTAGAGGACGCTGTCTATATGTTTGTGAATCTGAAGTACGTTACTTAGGGTACGTTTTGTTGTACGTTTCAGATGACAAATTCATTTGAGGGCGCTGTTTTCATGTTTGCAAACCTGAAATACGTTACTTAGGGTACATTTTGTTGCATGTTTTAGATGACGAATCCCTTAGAGGGTGCTGTCTACATTTTTGTGAATCTGAAATACGTTATTTAGGGTACGTTTTCTTGTGCGTTTTAGATGACAAATTCACTAGAGAGCAATGTCTACATTTTACAAATATGAAATACGTTACTTGGGGTGTGTTTTGTTGTAGGTTTCAGATGACAAATCCACTAGTGGACGCTGTCTATATGTTTGTAAATCTGAAGTATGTTACTTAGGGTACGTTTTGTTGTACGTTTCAGATGACAAATCCACTTGAGGGCGCTATTTACATTATGGCGACTAAAATATGTTACTTAGGGTACATTTAGTTGCCAACTTCAGATGAAAAATCCACTAGAGGGGGCTGTCTGCATTTTTGCGACTTTTAAATACATTACTTAGGGTAGTTTTGTTGTTCGTTTTAGATGACAAATCCACTAGAGGGTGCTGTGAAAATATGCGAATTTGAAATACGTTACTTAGGGTGAGTTGAGTTTCATATAAATGTCCCTATTGTACACGTCCAGGGAAAGGCAGAGCTTGTCGTGCAACTCAGCTAGCGAACCACTAAGCTAAACTCTTTCCTAAACCCAACCGATAGTGTTTACAGAAGCAGACGTAAGAGAAATAAACATAGTTTCACCTTGATTTTACATCGTAAAAACGTACTTTATCGGACTCAATCTGAAGCACTCTGTAGGACAACACAGTACAAGGTGAGCTACGAGAAAACTGACCATGCCAAAAAAATGTACAGATATATTGTTGACACAACAGTATTCATTATCAGTATTCGTAATCACAGGCAGCGTTAAGTTGTTTTGTGGGGTTTATTTGCTGTTGTGCTAAGCACTGCATAAAAGCAATCCTTTATTCGTTAACCATGTCTCTAAATATCATTTTTGTGAAAAGGAATAAAAGGTCATCATCATACTGCCCCCTAGTGTTCATTTTACCTACATACTGCAGTGTAGCATGCGTTAAAGCACAAGTGTCAAATCCAGTTCCTGGAGGGCCGCAGCTCTGCACTGTTTAGCGTTACCCCTAATTAAACACAGCTTATTGATTTAATTAAGTCCTTCAGGCATGTTTGAAACAACAGGTAAGTGTGTTAAAGCAGGATTGGAACTAAACTGTGCAGAGCTGCGGCCCTCCAGGAACTAAATTTAACACCTATTTGTAAATGTTGGCTGAAGCTTGTATTTCCAGTGAGCCTGCGTTTTGGTTCTCAGGACAGTTTGAGCAGTGAGTTCAGTAAATGCTTGTGGTGTTTCTGCAGGAGAGTAGCGAGCAAAAGCAAAGCAACACGGGAAGCTGGACAGTCCTGCAGTCCTTTTGGCAAGAAGAAGAAATGCAAAGACAAATACCTCGCCAAACACAGCTCAAGTTAGTGAAGCGCACCTGTATACCATCACACACTGCTTATTTATGCATTTTCATAAAGTTTTATAACATTATACAGTAAAACAAAGTACTCGCACACTGTTTAAACACACATGTGCTGCTTTATTTATAAAAGGATTTGTGTTCACTTCCATGCAAATTCAGGAATGTTACAAGTCTTTTCACAGTCATTAATGTTCTGCTGAAAATGATTTACACTTAACAACAAAACAAACTAATAATGTTTTATTTGTATTCTTGTTAACAAATTGTTTTTTAATGTTATTGTCACCTGCAGTTTAAGCCTAGTGCTATTATTTATTACATTTATAATTTACCAATCACGATAATAATATTTTTGGCTAATTTGAATGTTGTGAATAATATAATATAATATAATATAATAGTAAGACAGTCTGTAAATTTAAACACACACACATATATAAATATATATATATATATATATATATATAGACTCACCGGCCACTTTATTAGGTACAGCTGTCCAACTGCTCGTTAACGCAAATTGTAATCAGCCAATCACATTGCAGCAACTCAATGCATTTAGACATGTAGACATAGTCAAGACATCAGAATAGAGAAGAAAGGGGATTTAAGTGACTTTGAACGTGGCATGGTTGTTGGTGCCAGACGGGCTGGTCCACATATTTCAGAAACTGCTGATCTGCTGGGATTTTCACGCACAACCATCTCTAGGGTTTACAAAGAATGGTCTAGACTGGTTCCAGCTGATAAAAAGGCAACAGTAACTCACAAAGAGCATCTCTGAACACACAACACGTCCAACCTTGAGGCGGATGGGCTACAGCAGCAGAAGACCACACCGGGTGCCGCTCCACAGTCAAATGGGCTCCACAGTCACCAGAGCTCAACCCAATAGAGCAGCTTTGGGATGTGGTGGAACGGGAGATTGGCATCATGGATGTGCAGCCGACAAATCTGCAGCAACTGTGTGATGCTATCATGTCAACATGGAGCAAAATCTCTGTGGAATATTTCCAGTAGCTTGTTAAATATATGCTATGAAGGATTAAGGCAGTTCTGAAGGCAACCTGGTTCTACTAGCAAGGTGTAAGGTGTACCTAATTAAGTGGCCGGTTAGGCTTAATAAATCTAAATATTTTTCTATTATACCTCTGAATAACCACATCATGGCTTAATGTAATAAAAGCCACTATTTAAGTCTACAGATGCCCTTATAGAGCATTAACTGATGAATTTCTCTGTCTTTTCATTAGTCTTTGACCAGCTTGATGTCATATCTTATGAAGAGGTAGTGAGACTTCCAGCGTTCAACAGAAAGACCCTGGTTCTCATCGGTGAGCCATATATTGTGCTATTAATAGTGAAAATAGGAATATAAAATCTATTTGTTATTTCCATTCATCACTATACAGTAGATACTAAAACTGTTTCTTTCTGTTGTGTAAAGGTGCACATGGAGTTGGAAGGAGCCTTATTAAAAACTCACTGCTGAGCAAATATCCTGAGAAGTTTGCTTATCCAGCACCACGTATGTATCCTTCACTTCTGTTTCCCATTCATTCATTTGCTTTCAGCTTAGTCCCTTATTTATCAGGGGTCGCCACAGCGGAATGAACCACCAACTATTCCATCATATGTTTTACACGATCATAATGTTTTTTCTTTGCAGATACAACTAGACCTCAGAAGAAGGACGAGGAGAACGGCAAAGAATATTACTTCATCTCTAACGACGAGATGACTAAAGGCATTGTTGGAAACGAGCTGCTGGAGTACGGCAGCTATCAGGGACACATGTTCGGCACGAAGATCGAAACCATCCACAAGATCCACGAGCAGGGCAAGATCGCAGTGCTGGATGTCGAACCACAGGTAACAGATCTGGAAGATGTCTGTGCACTTTTGGTCACATGTTGACCTTTTTTAATGCCAAACTAAGAATGCTCTACACACTCAAAAATAAAGGTACAAAGGCACATATAAATACCTAAAAGTGCAAATGTGTACCTCATAGTATCTTAAAGGGATAAAAGAGAACTTTAAAGGTGCAAAGGTGTACCCTAGAGGTACTAATGTTCAACTGTACGGTACAAAACTGCACATCTAGGATATGTCTATCTGTATGTCTGTCTATCTGTCTCATACCTGCCAACATTTGTTCCTGAAAGTCTGGGAGATCTGGGGGTGGTTCGGGGGTGAGGTGTCTGAATAACACTGTTAAGAAGCGGGTACTGTGCTGTTAGTAACTGTACTATGGAGTGCGTTTCAGGCGACCGCTGCGATCGGATAATATACCAAAGTTGGTGACCCCGGGGTTTCACAGACTGGGCGAAATTATGTGACTTTTCCAGGAGACATAACAAAACGGGAGGGTTGCGGGAGACTTACCTTTCTGTCTATCTATATGTTTGGTTTGTCTATCTATCTATCTGTCTACCTGTTTGTCTGCCTATCTGTCTATCTATCCATCTGTTTGTCTATCTACCTATCTATCTATCTGCCTGCCTATCTATCTATCTATCTATCTATCTATCTATCTATCTATCTATCTATCTATCTATCTATCTATCTATCTATCTATCTATCTATCTATCTATCTATCTATCTATCTATCTATCTATCTATCTATGTATCCATCCATCCATCCATCCATCCATCCATCCATCCATCCATCCATCCATCCATCCTGGCTCAAAAGTGCAAAAAATGTAATACTAACACATAAGTTTTTCAAACAAGAGGTCTACAGTATGTTTAACAGTTATGCATTTTATATGACACTAATTATTGTCATTTTTTGTCTTGAAAATGCAACGTCAAGTCAATAACTCGTATATATCATCCAACCAGAAAATACAACCTTCTTTGAGGACTAACAAACGTTGTTATCGTAATCTATCAAGTGATAATTTGGAGTCAGAATAATTTTTTTGTTTCTTGTTTAAATATTTCCCAAATTATTACAGAGCAAGGAAATGTTCACAGTATGTCTGATAATATTTTTTCTTCTGGAGAAAGTCTTATTTGTTTTATTTCGGCTAGAATAAAAGCAGTTTTCAATTTTTTAAACACCATTTTAAGGTCAATATTATTAGCCCCTTTATGCTATATTTTTTTCCATTAGTCTACAGAACAAATCATCATTATACAATAACTTGCCTAATTACCCTGACCTGCCTTGTTACCCTAATTAACCTAGTTAAGGCTTTAAATGTCACTTTAAGCTGTATAGAAGTGTCTTGAAGAATATCTAGTCTAATATTATTTACTGTCATCATGGCAAAGATAAAATAAATCAGTTATTAGAAATGAGTTATTAAAACTATTATGTTGAGAAATGTGCTGAAAAAATCTGCTCTTCCTCAAACAGAAATTGGGGGAAAAAATAAACGGGACTAAAAATTCGGACTTTAACTATATATATATATATATATATATATATATATATATATATATATATGTATTGTGGTATTCAGCACTCATTTTAAACTGTCAACAAAAGATGAAAAAATGTTAATTGTCATGATTTAATCATCCTTTAGTTGTTTCAAACCTGTTGAGTTTTTTCTTCTGTTGAACATAATGGACAATATTGTGGAGAATGCTGAAAAAACATTCATTGACTTTCACAGTGTTTTGCTGAAGCATTATGTTTGTTTTAGTTTTTCATTTCTTGCTTTGACAGTCAATTGTCTTTCTGTTTTTCTTCTCCTCCAGACGCTGAAAGTGCTCAGAACGGCAGAGTTTGCTCCTCTTGTGATCTTCATTGCTCCCACTAACACCGGCAATCAGGTCAGAAACAGGTTCATTTAAACCTAATGCAGCTTAAGCCTGGTTTAAACTCCTACATCAAGTGATCGGCGTGACCCACGGGGCATGCGACGTGCGTAGCTGTGCATTTATACTTCTGCGCGCCGTTTCTATTGCTCTGCAATTACACTTGCGAAACGCTAGTTGGCCGTGAGGTGTTAATGTTCCTCTGTGTCGAGTTTCGTCGCTGGTGTTTTGCTTATTCTGAACACTTTCTGAATGTACAAGTGGCTCAAACTCGGTCATTTTGAGGCAGGAACCGGCGGACGTGCAACAACTTTAACTATGAGGTAAACACAAAACAAAACTGTCCATCTGGAGCTCCTTCACGGGAACCCACACTTGTAAACAATCGCTCCATTGGGCTTGCACCGCTCTCGTCCCGCCCACACTGGTCAGCGCTACCAAGCCGACCAATCAGAGCTTGCGCTACTCATCGTTGAGATGTGTCGTTAAATTTTTTGAGAGTTGCGTGTCAGCCTCGTGCCGTAGCACTGAAAACAAACAGGAAGTGCATTTTCATTTTAACCCTGTGTGTTCTGCTTTCCAGTCAGAGGCGGTGCAGAACATCCAGAAAGAGTCAGACAGCCTCCTCGCTGCGCACCGGCACTTTTTCGACGAAATCCTGGTGAACAACGATGTGGACGAGAGTGTGAAGGGAGTGGAGGATGCCATCGAGAGAGCGTCCTCAAGCCCACAGTGGGTGCCCATCTCCTGGGTTTACTGAAACACGCACACACACATACTCACACTCGCCGTCAGGACGGTTTGCACATCAGCGAACAGTTTATAGAATGTCTGCGATTAAAAAAGAAAAGCAATAAGTTTGTTCCTTTTGTTGAATGATTTTGAAACTGCAGTTATATCCGTACCAGGACAGTATATAGCATTAAGCGATGACATTGTTAGCGATGCAAAAAGGACCTCTACTGTGATCCAGTCTGCCCTCTAAAGGCAAAACGCAGAAACTACACATCTGCTCTAAACATTTCAGGTCTCATCCTCAAGTTATGCCCCGTATTTTAGAAAATAAACCACTAATCTCTGGTTTGACTGGTTGTGCACTTCATTTTTTAAGGGACCGTTCACATAAATCATTCACCTATTATTTACCCGTCTTCCAGTTAGTCCAAACCTGTTTGAGTTTCTTCTGTTGAACACAATAGAAGATATACTGAAGAATGCTGGGGGAAATAAACAGCCCTTGACTTGCATTGAGTTTTAAGAGTTACTTGAGCCCGAAGTCAATAAGCAGGGGATCCGAGATCAGGTAGGTCTCGAAAGCTCCCCTTAGAAAAGGAGGAGTTGGGGTGGAAGGGGGGATTCTTCCAAAACGAAGAAAGAGGAGTAGGGAAAAACAATCTATTAACGGTGTTTTCACACCTGCCTTATTTAGTTGGGTTGAATCGCACTAGAGTTCGTTTTCCCTCTTGGTGCAGACCTAACTACAAAAAGAACTGCACCTTTTGGACTAATGCAGCTGCCGTAGGCTGATGCGCTGTGCATTATGGGATGTGGAGAAATAATATTTGTTGACAGCGCTTTACCAAGAGAGAGAGAGAGGGGAAAACATTACCTAATGAATCGTTGGTAATATTTCCGGAAGATGACTATGTTGCAGTTTAGCTAAATTAATTCACGCCTCCTCCTAAAGTGACGTGCGATGCGCCTTGTGCAGTTTATTTATAAACTACTTTCGAGAGGATCACTTATGATCAACACGGCTGGCACCTTATTCGCTCTGTAATCTGCCCTATTAGATAATGACGAACGCATTATAAATAACCTGAGCTTTTCACTCCAGTTATCTTCGTCTTGAAAGCAGGTGAGTTTTCGAGACCTACCTGAGCTCGAACTCCCCTCTCGCCCTTCTATCAGGAGGGAGCCCCTAGCTCGAGGATATTATGAGCTCAGGGCTCTCTACCGGGACAGCATGACAATTACGCTTTATTGGTCATCAGCTAAGTGTGAACTCTTGAACGATGTTTGCGATGCATTAAAACATTGTTTTCCAGCCGCAGCCGCACTTCATTCTCGAAATGTATAGTTTGTCTAAAGTGATGTATACAAACTATATAGTGTACTATGAGCAGGGGTACAATCAGCCAGCAAGTCGTCCCTCCTTAGTCAAAAGCCACATTTTGTCTGCCGGTTTGTTTACTTGCGGGAGTTCATTGGCATTTTCCCGCACGTTAACTCTGACCAGCCGAAAAGCAGTTTAGGAAATACGTTCAACAACATCTGGCCAATGAGTGATGTGGGTTTTGTCACATGACTGCATTTTGGTTCTTTTCATCAGGTTCGGATCAAAGCAATCAGAGTGGTGTGAAAACGACCCAAAGACTTCAGAAAATGCAACAATGCATCATTTATTGCCCTTGGTCCGAACCAAATGAACCGAACCACAGATGGTTCACTACACTTTTGTTTCGGAACGTGTCTCGTTTGCCCAGTTAGCGCGTTTCGATTGGCATATGTGAACAGGGCAATCGCGCTCTGTTCCGCGCCAAAGTAATCGCTCCGAGATCGCTTGAATGAGGTGGTCTCGGCTCGATTGAAACGAACCCTGGAGTGGTTCGATTGCAGTGAGAAAGCGATCCGATCCGAGCGCGGTTATATCACAGTGTTTTATGGATATGTAATAGGCTTACGGCTATATGAAGAGAGTATTATGAGTAGGGCGGGAAGTTTCGCGAGTCTCCGGATGCCCGCAAACGAGTGATGATCTCCCGGTAATCTCGCGTCTCCCTTCCGGTCCTCAAATAGGCATCGTCGCGCACTCTTCTCACCCCTCCCCACCGTGTCTCTCCTCAGACACGTCGCGCGCGCGCACCCTGTCAATCACCACCAAACCACCACCTCTCCTGACAGCTAAGCGGGACGCTGCAAAATAAACCCTGACACTCTGACCAATGTAAGGAGAGTTTACTCGCACGTGACTTGTTTTAGCTCTTTTGGTCCGATTAGAAACTTTGCAGTGTGAAAGCGAACCGCTCCAAGAGCAAAGAGCAACAATGTAACAATTGTAATCTCGGTTTCGGAACAACTGAATCAATTCACAGGTGTGAAAGCAGCCTTATTGTAGGCTTGGATCACTTTGATTGGATCATTACTGATCCATGCTCAGTCATATCAACTGCTCCTCTCGAAATTAGTTTGTGAAACTTCACTTCTTGTTCCTACTACTGATGTCAAGGGCTGCTTTTTCCCCAACGTTCTTTGAAAGATTCAACAAGAAAGCCAATAAGGTTTAGAACCACTTGAGCTGAGTAAATATTATTAATTTTATGTGAACTGTTCCTTCAAGGCGTTTGCGTAGTTACTGCTCTTTGTTTTGCAGGGCGGCATCATTAATTCCCTGCTGTTTCAGTGTTTGTGAGCCATGTTTCATGTAGGGTTGGGTCGATAGACGATGCCATCATCCATCGCCGATGGCTAATAGACATTCTCCGCCCCGGCCCCGTCACAGCAGCAACCCGCTCAGGCCCCGTTTACACTTCTATGTCTTAGTTTTAAAATGGTGGTTAGGAATGAAAATGATCCACGCTGGAGTTTACCATTTCTGAACAGATCTCCGTCCACACTATACTGCTGAAAACGCACGTCGTGTGACCACACAACACACACACTGTCATGTCAAATCACTTTTATTGTCACATCATCAGCAGCACGTGTGCTATGAGTGAAAAGCTTAGGTGCTGGCTCCAGACAGTGCAAAATACAGTGCAAATACAACGACTATGTGAAATTGACAGGAATCAGATGCAGCATACGCGCGCATCTGAGCTCCTGCAGGCTTGAGCACAAAACCCCAGAGAACAGTGCACGTCACACAGTTAATCAAGGATGTACCGCTGGATGGCGTCTCACTATAGTTGTTAACTCTTGTCTCTATCTAACGACTCTTCGGTCTTCTGAATCTATCAGGTAACGTGTCACAGCGTCAGTACAGTGCTTCAGTCTTTCACTTTCACACTTGTACTTAGTCATTTTAGTGTAAACCACAGACACTGTTGGTTGGTTCCTGTTGGTTTTACACCATTTCTACCAATTAGGTTTGTAGACGCCCTTACGCCCCATTTACACAGGGCTTCAGCGTCAACGCTTGACTGGAGGCGTGTCTGAAGTTGGGGCTGAAACGATCATCATAGAAGCGTCAGCCAATGAAATTCAGTCAGCAATAGGCCACTGTCTTGCTGGTGTATTTGCATACAGCGATCTGATTGGCTGACGCTTCCGTTGGCGCTTGAAAAGTTGAGCTGGTCCCAACTTCTGCAGTGAGCAACACCTCTGAAGTGGCGCCGACGCATCCACAATGCATTTCAGCAGCGCCTGACGTCACCCATTCAAAGTGAATGGGAAGCGTTGACGCTGACGCCTCGAGTGAATGGGGCGTAATACTGACACAGGTCACTGCCTATTCATACCAGAGTCCTGTGGGAAAGGTGATTGACAGGTGGTCATTTGTGTGTAACTTATCTTTATTTATTTATGGTTTGGTTATGGGTAAAACAAAGAGCATGCGGGTCAGCTAGTTGAAACAGTAGGCTACACATAATTAATTCGTTATGAATTAATTAATTATTCATAAATCATTAATTCACTACAATGACGATGCCATTGTTTTTTGCAATGTTTCACATTAGACATCGTACGATGCCAAATTGGTCAACATCGCCCAACCCTAATGCCATGGTGTTGTTCTGAAATATAAACAAAAGACGTGTTAAAAACACGGGGAAATCATATCAGCGTGTATTTGAAAGCAAGTTTGTCTTGAAATGTCTGTCTTATGATGATGTCTGAATTTACCTCAAGTCATAATGTAAGGCACTTTTGAAAGAACTCAATAAATGTCTCTCTACACTCCAGCTTGGACTCTTCCTGTAAACGAGGTAATAATAGTTTTGGATTTTTTTATTAGTTTGTTTTTATTTCGTTTTGTCTTGTTTTTAAATTCAGCTCTTTTTAAATTAGCTTTAGAGGCAGAATTACTAGTTTTTGTATTAGTTTCAATATTATGAAATTAGTTTAGTTTTTGTTAGTTTCAGTAGTAGTTTTTTTCTTTTTCTAAAAGCGATGCTCTATTTAGTGTCTACTCATTCATTCCAATTGAAAACAAATGAAGCTCGATTCAGTTTATTTCAGTTCTGTTTATTACAAATGTCACTGTTGAAGGATGATACATTGAAGATCAGTTCTGCCGACCCCAAACAAACAAGCCAGAGGTGACTACGGCAGGTAACCAAAACTCCACAATGAGCATCAGTTGTGGAGCAGGTGCAGGTTCAAGGATGTTCTGATTATCTGATTCAGAGATTCGTCTGTCACTGGGGTCTCTGCAGGAATCAGTCTTGTGCTCTCAATGCCCGCGATAACCATCTGCTCTGGATACAGGCCGGATCCAAGATTATGTTGGCCTCGGGATAAGGAAAAACAGACTAACATCAGCGTAGATGCCATTCAAATTACAAAAGAGATGTGTGTTAAATCTAGATAGTTACTTATTATGCTTACAGGGCGACCACCTAATAATGCATAACACCAATCTAACCGAGAGGTCATCAAAGCATGAATAATGACATTCATACCATTGTCATAGTTTGGCAATTCCTTAACAACCAATTCTGCAGATGCTTGAGATGTGGCCTTCTGATTTATATATTACACATATATAGAGTATTTAAAAAAAAAAATTAGGCTGTCGCCTGTTTATGGAGGCCCACCACCACCCCATCTCCTCCAGTTTATTTGTTTCAAGGTTTTCATGTATTATTACATTTTTTTCAATATATATACACAATATATACAGTTCTTTTCTCAGCATGTCATCCTGAAGCCCGGGAGGAAGGAGGCACACCATGTTGGCAAGTCAGAGAAACCATTACCTGCCATCTGGAGACGGAGGAGTAAAAGAAACATACTCGACCACCGTCTGCCACAGAATGGAAGGGCGACTGTCATCTGAGAGGGCACAAGGGAGTCACCACCGTTCAAGCAAGTCTTAAGTCCTGTCCACCATGATGGGGACAAGCAGGAAGACCAAGGGTACGAGCTCTTGCTGCCACCTATGTGGTAGAGAAGCCATTACCCTCCATATGGAGACGGGGGAATACCATCCACCAATTAAGTGCTCTGGCCAGGCACCGTGAGTGAGGAGCACTGGAAGAGCTTGCCATGGGGATGGGTATACTCGACCACCGTCTGCAACAGTATGGAAGGGCGGCTGACATCTGTGAGGGAGAAGAGCCCGGTGAGCAAGAGAACAGTGGCACGACTTCTTCCTCTTCTCAGTTGTATGGTAAAGTTTTGGTTAATCATTGAAGGTGGTCCTTCCTCCACCGGGAAATACTTGTCAGACAGTGAGACGTATATGTGGCAGTGTCCATCTCAGAGACTGTGTTGGTGTTTTCAGCGTGAAAGGTAATGTCACTGTAGACGGTGTCAATCTGAAAGACACTGTCGCATTGCGGGGCGATGTCATCTCAGATACCGCATCAGTCCCATAAATCTGAGAGGTGGTCCTGATCTGAGGAGGGGCAGTCCTTGTCTTAGAAAGGGCACTGCTGGTGTCAGAAAGGGTACTGATGGTCTTAGAAAGGGCACTGCTGGTCTTAAGGGCACTGCTGGTCTTAGAGGCACAACTGGTCTTAGGGGAGGCAGTCCTGGTCTCAGGAAAGGCAATCCTGGACTCAGAAGGGGCACTGCTGGTCTTAGGGGTCGTCCTAGTCCCAGAAGAATCACTGCTGGTCTCAGAAGAGGTAGTCCTGGACTCAGTAGGGGCACTGTTGGTTTCAATAGGGGCAGTCCTGGTCTCAGGGGCAGTGCTGGTCTCAGGGGCAGTGCTGGTCTCTGGGGCTGTATCAGGGGTACCAGAAACCTCAGAGACAGTTGTAGCCTTAATGGTAGTGGCAACCTCAAATATAATGCTGTTGTCACTCTCAGTAGCTGTCTCTGAGGTGATGTCAATAGTGGTCTCATTGACAGCGAGATTCTCAGTAACTGACTGAGAGGTAATCTCACGCTGTGAGACAGTGACAGCCTAAGGGGCAGTGGTGGTTCCAGAGGTGGTGCTGGTCTCACTTTCAGTGGTGTTCTCAGTGACTTCTTCAGAGTTAAACTCACTCTCTGGGGCACTTCCAGTCTGTTGTGCCGTAGTGGTTTCGGGAGCAGTATTGGTCTCAGTGACATTGGTGTTATCGGCAGTGTCAATGGAAGATTTAATCTCAGAGACAGTTGTAGACGCATTGAGGTTGGCATTCTCAAATGCAAAATCATCGTTATTCTCAGCAACTGTCTCTGAGGTAATCCCAGTCTCTGAGATGCTGGCTGGCTGAGGGTCAGTGGTGGTTTCAGATGAGGTCCTGGCCTCATTGACACCATTATTCTCAGTGACTGTCTCAGAGGAAAGCTCACTTTATGATGCAGAGCCAGTCTGGTGGGCACTGGAGGATTCAGAGGCAGTGAAATTCCCAGGAGTGCAAGTAACCTCAGAATCGGTTGTAGACTCACTGGTACTGGCAACCTCATATGTAACATCTGTGTAACCATGACTGAGTGTTTCACATATTCTCTCCTCCTCTGAAACAGTGTCCTTCCACGGTGTATTGGTGATGTTGCATCATGTGCTGATTTTGCTATCATTAATAGTGTTATGACCTAAACCGGTCACCACAAATAAGGAGAAGTCGAGTACAATTGCGGTACAAAAATATATTTATTTACTATTATCAAAGGTCATGTTGCTAGCCCATCAGGTCCAAAACCGATCCCAGCCGAAAGGTAAGTGACCAGATTCCACGTGCAGCCTCTCCTCGTCTGAAACGAACACGCTATTTATAGCAGAGCAACTCAATCACAAACCGGTGTTCTCAATCCCAGCGCAATCAGCTGGACCTGCAACACACACACACACACAGATGCACAGACCGACACCCACACCCCAGCCACAAACGACCACAAGGGGTCGTCACACCTTCCTCCCCAAAAAAAATTAATTAAAAAAAAAAAAAAAAAACTTATACACAATCAACAAATAAGAAACAGGACACAAATCGACATATCTCTATCACTTCAAGAGACCGGTGCACGAGAAAGGGCGTCCGCCAAAATATTTTCCTTCCCCTTGATGTGGTGAATCTCCAAATTGTACGGCTGTAAAAATAAAGACCATCGCATTAAACGTTGGTTAGGATTTTGTAAAGTTGTCAAAAACGTCAAAGGGTTGTGGTCACAATAGATAACCACCGGCAATCCACCCCCCCCAACATAGACATCAAAATGCTGGAGTGCCCAAACCAATGCCAAGGCTTCCTTTTCGATTACAGAATAATTAATCTGATAAGGCAGAAATTTTTTGGAACGCATCAATTCTCGCTTGGTACGGGGTGGGGGATATCTGTCAATTGCCTCAATTTTAGCACTCACGGGACGCACAACTCCATGACCAACAACCTTACCCAAATAGGTTACCGTGGCCCTAGCGAACTCACACTTCGCTAGGTTTACAGTAAGCCCTGCTTCCTTCAGACGCTCAAATAGCTGCCTAATTCGCCGTAGATGTTCCTCCCAAGAATCGCTATATACAATCAAATCATCCAAGTAAACTGCACAACCTTCCAAATCAGTTATCACACGATTCATTAGCCTCTGAAATGTGGCCGGTGCATTTCGCAATCCGAAACTCATCACATTATAAGAATATGCCCCATCAGGTGTAATAAACGCAGAGACTTCACGGGCGCGCGGACTCAGCGGAATCTGCCAATAACCCTTCAATAAATCAAATTTACTGAGGTATCTGGCAGCACCCACTTTGTCCACACAATCTTCGATACGGGGAAGGGGAAAAGAATCAGGTTTTGTGATTGCATTTAATTTTCTATAATCGGTACAAAATCTCAAGGTACCATCTTTCTTTTTTACTAGCAAGCAAGGAGATGACCAACTAGAAGAAGATGGAACAGCCAAATTATTCTCCAACAGATACTTAACCTCCGATTCCAATTGCTTCCTTTTTTCCCACGGCACTCTATAGAATCGCTGACGCACTGGAAGGGAATCCCCCACATCAATATCGTGTTGTACAACATGCGTCTGATTAGGAACATCTGAAAAAAGGCATACATAATCCTCAATCAATCTGACCAACTCTAAACGTCTCTCAGTAGGAAGATGTTGCAAAAAGGCTGGTAAGTCACTCAGAATTTCTGAATTACTCAATCGAGGACACATAATGCTGTCATCTGGCTCCATTGTCTTTTCATAATCCAAAAATAATTCATCAGATGTCGCAGGATGAACGGACAATACAGGGGATACCTGACAACAAACTGAGCCTGAACGGCCATAAAAAGGTTTAAGTAAGTTAACATGACATACTTGAGTTTTTGTCCTTCTTTCTGGTGTCGCAATAACATAATTTTCATCCGACTCTTTACGGTGAATCACATACGGGCCAGCAAATCTAGCTTTAAATGGAGAAGTAGTCACCGGCAATAACGCCATTACCTGATCCCCGACACTAAAAGATCGGTGCTCAGTTCTACGATCGTACGCATGCTTCATTTTTAATTGTGCCTGCATTAAGTTTGCTTTAGCCAACTTAACAGCCTCAAAGAGTCGTCTTTTAAACCCGTTTACATACTCCGTTAATTTTTTCGGTGGCTCAAGAGAAATCCAATCATCCCGTAACGCAGCTAGTACCCCACGGACATTATGACCGAAAACCAGTTCATTTGGGCTATAACCAGTACTTTCATGGGTTACCTCTCTGGCAGCTAACATAAGCCAAGGTAACCCCTCCTCCCAGTCACGATCCAGTTCTGTACAATAAGCACGTAACAGGGATTTAATAGTCTGGTGGAAGCATTCAATCGCGCCCTGACTCTGCGGATGATACGCCGTAGATATATTATGCTTAACATTAAGCTGTCGCAAAACTTCCTCAAACACTCCCGAAGTAAAATTAGTACCCCGATCTGACTGTATGATTTTAGGTATCCCAAAGACTGACATAAATTGGGAGAGCGCCTTAAGAACAGACTTCGCTGTAATTGATCGCAGTGGAAAAGCTGCCGGGTACCGTGTAACCTGACACATAACAGTCAGCAAATACTCACTACCAGACCTTGATCGACTCAAAGGACCCACACAGTCCACTATTAAATGACTGAATGGTTCAGACACCGCAGGGATAGGACGTAACGGAACAGGTTTTGGATTCTGATTTGGTTTACCTATTAGCTGGCAAACAGGACAAGTTTTAATATAGCTCGACACATCGCGTTTTAGTCGAGGCCAAAAAAAATTCCGCATTAAACGATCATACGTCTTCCTCACGCCCAAATGCCCAGACTGATCATCATGAGCGAGCTTTAACACCATCGATCTTAAAGGGGTTGGAATTACTACCTGTACGTATGGCGTCCCTATAGAGGCTTTAGCTTGTGGAGTCCATTTTCTTATCAAAACCCCTTCACACATGAAATACTCCTGGGCTGCATTAGCATCGGAGAGCACCTGTGAAAACAATTCATTCAACGTCAGATCTGCTTTTTGCTGCTTAATCAATTCATCCTGCGATACAGAAAGCAACGACGCTGGCCAAGAAACACCCCCATCTATTTGAAATGGTACCTCATTTTTCATAATACTCATCCGACTTGCTGAGCGCGTGACTGCACAAGCAGGAAAAACATCATGATAATCCAATCCACTATCCCGGTCTGCAACGGATATGGGTTTTGACGTTACAATTAATGGTGGTGCTGACTCACCCCAAACTCGTCCACCAGCCAAATTATTCCCAAGAATGACAGAAACTCCTTCCACTGGAAGGGCAGGTCTCAGCCCTAGTTCCACATCACCATGAATCAATTTAGACTGCAACGTAACCCTATGCAGTGGCACCGACATCCTAGTTAACTCAATTCCACAGATCAACATTGACTTGCCCGTAAATGATTCTTTTGAGAAAGGTAATACGGACTCCAAAATGAAAGAAGCAGATGCCCCTGTGTCCCGCAGAATTTTCACCGGCACACGCTCGCCTTCTGGAAGAGACACAAAACCATCAGAAACAAAAGGTGAAAAGTTACACTCAGAAAAGGAACTCTCCCGCATTTCGTTACTACATGGTATGAAGGAGGACTCAGATTCAACAGATCTAGCCACCGGTGCGGCTAAGAATGTAGGTTTTGGCTGGATGTAACGGCCCCGACCTTTCATCTGTAACGCAGGACACTCTTTCTTCCAATGCCCATGACCTAAACAATAATTACAGATTAAAACTGGATCGTTTTTACCAGCAATTTTCGTGTTTCCATAACGCGTGACTGTCGGTAACTCTGGACGCTGCACAAATGTAGGTTTCTCTTTAAGACAACCCACATCACTCCCCACTCTATGAATTAAATCATACTCGTCTGCTAATGCTGCTGCCTCTGCTATTGACAAAACATTACGTTCTGCAATAAATATAGCAATTTGATTTGGCAGTATGTTCTTAAACTGCTCCAAAACAACCAATTCCACCAGATCCTTAAACAATTTGACAGAGGCAGAATTACACCAGCGTGTAAAACACAATTGCAGTTCACGTGCTACTTCTACATATGACTGGGTAAACTTCTTTCTTAAACCACGGAATTTTTGGCGATACGCTTCTGGAACCAATTTGTATGCCTTCAAAACGGCCTTTTTAACTTTATCATAATTTTGACTATCGGCCAAACTCAAAGCAGAATAAGCTTTCTGTGCTTTACCCGTCAAAACACACCGTAACATTAACGATCGTTCGGCCTCCGGCCAACTCTGATTGTCCGCAACTCGTTCAAATAACAAAAAAAATGTATCCACATCTTCTTCATTAAACAAAGGCATTAATCGCAAGTTTGCTGCTACATTAAAATTAACAGAAGGTAGCCCCCCCTCTGCTCCTTCACCTAAATCATCATCGTTTAATCTCACTTTTCCATCCTTCATTAGATCCAAACGTTGCTGTTGAAGATCTAATTTTCTATTTTCCAAAGATTGTTGTGCCAAAATAGTTTCCTGTTCTAATTTTCGTTTCTCAATTTCCATTTTAAACTCCAATTTTCGCTGTTCTAACTGGAGAAGTACCAACTCTTTCTGTTGTTCAAAGGTAAAGGTAGTAGAGGGATACCTCGTAACCGAAACCCCTACTTCTGAAGACATAATCCCTTTCTCTATAAAAGCCATCTTTAAAACTGCCCTAACATTTTCTTTCAGTTTTTTATCATTTGTCGTAAGGACAATACCATAGTGGGCTGCAATCTCGATCAATTGGTCTTTTGTTAACAAATTAAATATTTGCTCAGAAGGATTCTCAATAAACTCACCTACTTCAATTGACGTCATAATCAGGAACAGAAGGGGCACAACGAAAGAGAAAGAAAAAACAATCTATATATGTCTATATACATATACATACATACATACATATATATATACACACACATATACAAAATAAAAGAAAAAGAATAATCAATAAACCCCTTAAGTAATTTACCTCCTTGCCACACCCACTGGAGACAACAAATATATTTGCGCCCTGTATATTAATTTCGCAACCTATAACTATACATAAATCTAACTAAGTAGACCCTAGTCTTCAAGCATACAGTGGTGGGTTTTTATGCACCAAATACCGCAGGCTGAGAACAACAACCAATTATATTGGCGATTCTCTCACACCTCGGCGTGCTCCCGAGACATAGCTCTAACCACCGATCTGCTCAAAAATAACAAACTAAAAAAAAAAAATTGACATGTCCCAAGAGACATATCACTTAATCCTAACAACGAAATTAATTCACAGGGCTATTTGAAATGTCAACCAGCTGTGCATGGAATTACACAAAATAAGTCTATTCTTTCAATACAATTGCACTCGATTCTCCCAATAATAAATCAAATTTCAGTTTTATCATCATAACCAATTAACCAAAACAAATTTAACAAAATCCAAAACAATAACAAAAATTATACAAACAATACCAAATTTAACCAGTCTAAGAAAAATGTTTTAGACGAGCCATTTGTTATGACCTAAACCGGTCACCACAAATAAGGAGAAGTCGAGTACAATTGCGGTACAAAAATATATTTATTTACTATTATCAAAGGTCATGTTGCTAGCCCATCAGGTCCAAAACCGATCCCAGCCGAAAGGTAAGTGACCAGATTCCACGTGCAGCCTCTCCTCGTCTGAAACGAACACGCTATTTATAGCAGAGCAACTCAATCACAAACCGGTGTTCTCAATCCCAGCGCAATCAGCTGGACCTGCAACACACACACACACACAGATGCACAGACCGACACCCACACCCCAGCCACAAACGACCACAAGGGGTCGTCACAATAGTCTCTCTTCAGATAACAAATCAACGGTATTTACTATGTCCAAAATATTGTCGACTTCATAACCGTTGTTGGTGGCATCTTGGTCAGTGGCTGTCTCAATGACTGTCTGAAAGGTAACATCGCTGTCTGAGAGAGTGTCAGTCTGAGATTCACTGGTAGTTTCATCGATGGTGCTGCTCTCATTGGCGGTGGATTCCTCAGTGACTGCGACAGAAGTATCGTCAGTCTCTGAGACTGTGCCAGTTTGAGAGGCAGTGGTGTCTTCAGATGTGGTGCTGCTCTCTCCAGCAGTGGTTTCCTCAGTGACAGTCTCAGAGGGAGCATTGGTCTCTGAGTCAGTGCCAGTCTGAGAAGCACTGTGGGGTTCACCGGTGGTTCTGCTCTCACTGGCAGTCGATTCCTCAGTGACTGTGACAGAAGTATCTTCAGTCTTTGAGGAAGAGGCAGTTTGAGAGGCAGTGTTGGCTTCACCGGTGGTTCTGCTCTCACTAGCAGTCGATTCCTCAGTGACTGTGACACAAGTATCTTCAGTCTCTGAAGAAGAGGCAGAGCTGGTTGTTGTTTCCTCAGTCACAGTCTCAGACATGTCGGTCTCTGACACAGAGCCAGTCTGAGAATCTTTGGTAGTTTCACCGGTGTTGCTGCTCTCAACGGCAGTCGATTCCTCCGATACTGTGACACAAGTATCTTTAGTCTCTGAGGAAGAGCCAGTTTGAGTGGCAGTGTTGGCTTCACCGGTGGTGCTGCTCTCAACGGCAGTCGATTCCTCAGAAGAATCATCAGTCTTTGAAGAAGAGCCAGTTTGAGAGGCAGGGGTTGGTTCCGGGGTGATGCTGACTTCAACAGCAATGGTTTCCTCAGTGGCAGTCTCAGAGGGAACATTGATCTCTGAAACTGTGCCAGTCTGAGGGCCAGTGGAAATATCAGCAGGAGTTGGAGTCTGTGAGGCGGTGTCAGGCACTGTGGAAAAAAAAGAAAAGGGCAGAAACCGTATAAGTATATATTTATATCAGTATCATGCTTACTCTTGTTAAATGTCAATATCTATTAATAATCAGTAGATCATAAAGCAGAAATTGAAGTATTTCATACCTTTGACAGCCGGGCTAGCCCTGAAGAGAGCATCTTCCTCCTCATCAAGAATGACCGCAAGCCCTAGAAAAGCAAGAAAGAAAGACAATCATTATTGGTTTAACAGGGTCTCTGCCAATATCATAATATCAAATTTAAGACCTTTTAAGACCTTTTTAGGACCATTAAGTATTACATTTAATATCTATATTGCAATATCAAAAACACACCTAAAATGAAACATGAAGATTTATGTGTGAATTGTTGAATCATTCATTGAAAATAAATATGATCTGTTGTACAAGATGTTACATTTTCTCCTAGTGTGATCCAAACCGTGAGATTTGTCATCCGTTACACCACTACTTAGTATTATACTACTCAAAATACACTCAAAATACAGCAGGTTCCTGTTGGCGTACACAGGTGTTCATTCATCACAAACCATTCATGTTGCCTCCATTTGCCAGGTGAGTGAAATTATATACTTATATACCCTCTCTCTAAATGTATTTGTTTTATTTAAGAGCATTTATCATTTATATTTTTCTTTAGACCATTTACAATCACATGATGGATCATTTACAGCAATGGTTCTCATAGTGGGGGTCCCTGAGGGGTCACTAGACAATGACAATAAATCTATTCATTTTTAATAAACCATAAAAATTACTATATTTTATCCTTAACCTACTGAAAATAAAATAAAAGTTTATAGTTACTATATACTACTGTTTATAATTTCTATAGTAGCTAATTTAAGTGATTTTACTGAAATCCCATTCAAAAAACCCATTGACTTTAGGACGAGGGAACCGGAACTGCTAAAATGCTAACTCGCTTCCGGGTTTTTGCTACCGGGACAGCATGCCAATTACGCTTTATTGGTCATTAGCTAAGTGTGAACTCTTGAACGATGTTTGCGATGCATTAAAACATTGTTTTCCAGCCGCAGCCACACTTCATTCTCGAAATGTATAGTTTGTCTAAAGTGATGTATACAAACTATTTAGTGTACTATGAGCAGGGGTACAATCAGCCAGCAAGTCGTCCCTCCTTAGTCAAAAGCCACATTTTGTCTGCCGGTTTGTTTACTTGCGGGAGTTCACTGGCATTTTCCCGCACGTTAACTCTGACCAGTCGAAAAGCAGTTTAGGAAATACGTTCAACAACATCTGGCCAATGAGTGATGTGGGTTTTGTCACATGACTGCATTTTGGTTCTTTTCATCAGGTTCGGATCAAAGCAATCAGAGTGGTGTGAAAACGACCCAAAGACTTCAGAAAATGCAACAATGCATCATTTATTGCCCTTGGTCCGAACCAAATGAACCGAACCACAGATGTGAAAGCACCCTTAGGGTGCTTTCACACCTACACTTTTGTTTGGGAACGTGTCTCGTTTGCCCAGTTAGCGCGGTTCGATTGGCATATGTGAACAGGGCAATCGCGCTCTTTTCCGCGCCTAAGTAATCGCTCCGAGATCGCTTGAATGAGGTGGTCTCGGCTCGATTGAAACGAACCCTGGAACGGTTCGATTGCAGTGAGAAAGCGGTCCGATCCGAGCGCGGTTATAACACAGTGTTTTATGGATATGTAATAGGCTTACGGCTATATGAAGAGAGTATTATGAGTAGGGCGGGAAGTTTCGCGAGTCTCCGGATGCCCGCAAACGAGTGATGATCTCCCGGTAATCTCGCGTCTCCCTCCCGGTCCTCAAATAGGCATCGTCGCGCACTCTTCTCACCCCTCCCCACCGTGTCTCTCCTCAGACATGTCGCGCGCGCGCACCCTGTCAATCACCACAAAACCACCACCTCTCCTGACAGCTGAGCGGGACGCTGCAAAATAAACCCTGACACTCTGACCAATGTAAGGAGAGTTTACTCGCACGTGACTTGTTTTAGCTCTTTTGGTCCGATTAGAAACTTTGCAGTGTGAAAGCGAACCGCTCCAAGAGCATAAAGCAACAATGTAACAATTTTAATCTCTGTTTCGGAACAACTGAATCAATTCACAGGTGTGAAAGCAGCCTTAATGTAGGCTTGGATCACTTTGATTGGATCATTACTGATCCGTGCTCAGTCATATCAACTGCTCCTCTCGAAATTAGTTTGTGAAACTTCACTTCTTGTTCCTACTACTGATGTCAAGGGCTGCTTTTTTCCCCAACGTTCTTTGAAAGATTCAACAAGAAAGCCAATAAGGTTTAGAACCACTTGAGCTGAGTAAATATTAAGTAAATATTATAAATTTTATGTGAACTGTTCCTTCAAGGCGTTTGCGTAGTTACTGCTCTTTGTTTTGCAGGGCGGCATCATTAATTCCCTGCTGTTTCAGTGTTTGTGAGCCATGTTTCATGTAGGGTTGGGTCGATAGACAATGCCATCATCCATCGCCGATGGCTAATAGACATTCTCGGCCCCGGCCCCGTCACAGCAGCAACCCGCTCAGGCCCCGTTTACACTTCTATGTCTTAGTTTTAAAATGGCGGTTTGGAATGAAAATGATCCACGCTGGAGATTCACCTACCATTTGTGAACAGATCTCCGTCCACACTATACTGCTGAAAACGCACGTCATGTGACCACACAACACACACACTGTCATGTCAAATCACTTTTATTGTCACATCATCAGCAGCACGTGTGCTATGAGTGAAAAGCTTAGGTGCTGGCTCCAGACAGTGCAAAATACAGTGCAAATACAACGACTATGTAAAATTGACAGGAATCAGATGCAGCATATGCGCGCATCTGAGCTCCTGCAGGCTTGAGCACAAAACCCCAGAGAACAGTGCACGTCAGGCAGTTAATCAAGGATGTAGCGCTGGATGGCGTCTCACTATAGTTGTTAACTCTTGTCTCTATCTAACGACTCTTCGGTCTTCTGAATCTATCAGGTAACGTGTCACAGCGTCAGTACAGTGCTTCAGTCTTTCACTTTCACACTTGTACTTAGTCATTTTAGTGTAAACCAGACACTGTTGGTTGGTTCCTGTTGGTTTTACACCATTTTTACCAATTAGGTTTGTAGACGCCCTTACGCCCCATTCACACGGGGCTTCAGCGTCAACGCTTGACTGGAGGCGTGTCTGAAGTTGGGGCTGAAGCGATCATCATTGAAGCGTCAGCCAATGAAATTCAGTAAGCAATAGGCCACTGTCTTGCTGGTGTATTTGCATACAGAGATCTGATTGGCTGACGCTTCTGTTGGCGCTTGAAAAGTTGAGCTGGTCCCAACTTCTGCAGTGAGCAACACCTCTGAAGTGGCGCCGACGCATCCACAATGCATTTCGGCAGCACCTGACGTCACCCATTCAAAGTAAATGGGAAGCATTGACGCTGACGCCTCGAATGAATGGGGCGTAATACTGACACAGGTCACTGCCTATTCATACCAGAATCTTGTGGGAAAGGTGATTGACAGGTGGTCATTTGTGTGTAACTTATCTTTATTTATTTATGGTTTGGTTATGGGTAAAGAGCATGCGGGTCAGCTAGTTGAAACAGTAGGCTACACATAATTAATTCGTTATGAATTAATTAATTATTCATAAATCATTAACTCACTACAATGACGATGGCATTGTTCTTCGCAATGTTTCACATTAGACATCGTACGATGCCAAATTGGTCAACATCGCCCAACCCTAATGCCATGGTGTTGTTCTGAAATATAAACAAAAGACGTGTTAAAAACACGGGGAAATCATATCAGCGTGTATTTGAAAGCAGGTTTGTCTTGAAATGTCTGTCTTATGATGATGTCTGAATTTACCTCAAGTCATAATGTAAGGCACTTTTGAAAGAACTCAATAAATGTCTCTCTACACTCCAGCTTGGACTCTTCCTGTAAACGAGGTTATAATAGTTTTGGATTTTTTTATTAGTTTGTTTTTATTTCGTTTTGTCTTGTTTTTAAATTCAGCTCTTTTTAAATTAGCTTTAGAGGCAGAATTACTAGTTTTTGTATTAGTTTCAATATTATGAAATTAGTTTAGTTTTTGTTAGTTTCAGTAGTAGTTTTTTTCTTTTTCTAAAAGCGATGCTCTATTTAGTGTCTACTCATTCATTCCAATTGAAAACAAATAAAGCTCGATTCAGTTTATTTCAGTTCTGTTTATTACAAATGTCACTGTTGAAGGATGATACATTGAAGATCAGTTCTGCCGACCCCAAACAAACAAGCCAGAGGTGACCACGGCAGGTAACCAAAACTCCACAATGAGCATCAGTTGTGGAGCAGGTGCAGGTTCAAGGATGTCACTGGGGTCTCTGCAGGAATCAGTCTTGTGCTCTCAATGCCCGCGATAACCATCTGCTCTGGATACAGGCCGGATCCAAGATTATGTTGGCCTCGGGATAAGGAAAAACAGACTAACATCAGGGTAGATGCCATTCAAATTACAAAAGAGATGTGTGTTAAATCTAGATAGTTATTTATTATGCTTACAGGGCGACCACCTAATAATGCATAACACCAATCTAACCGAGAGGTCATCAAAGCATGAATAATTACATTGATACCATTGTCATAGTTTGGCAATTCCTTAACAAACAATTCTGCAGATGCTTGAGATGTGGCCTTCTGATTTATATATTACACATATATAGAGTATTTTGGTAAAAAAATGAGGCTGTCGCCAGTTTGTGGAGGCCCACCACCACCCCATCTCCTCCAGTTTATTTGTTTCAAGGTTTTCATGTATTTTTACATTTTTTTTCAATATATACACACAATATATACAGTTCTTTTCTCAGCATGTCATCCTGAAGCCCGGGAGGAAGGAGGCACACCTTGTTGGCGAGTCAAAGAAACCATCACCTGCCATCTGGAGACGGAGGAGTAAAAGAAACATACTCGACCACCGTCTACCACAGAATGGAAGGGCGACTGTCATCTGAGAGGGCACAAGGGAGTCACCACCGTTCAAGCAAGTCTAAGTCCTGTCCACCATGATGGGGACAAGCAGGAAGACCAAAGGTACGAGCTCTTGCTGCCACCTATGTGGTAGAGAAGCCATTACCTTCCATATGGAGACGGGGGAATACCATCCACCAATTAAGTGCTCTGGCCAGGCACCGTGAGTGAGGAGCACTGGAAGAGCTTGCCATGATGATACTCGACCGCCGTCTGCTACAGTATGGAAGGGCGGCTGACATCTGTGAGGGAGAAGAGCCCGGTGAGCAAAAGAACAGTGGCACGACTTCTTCCTCTTCTCAGTTGTATGGTAAAGTTTTGGTTAATCATTGAAGGTGGTCCTTCCTCCACCGGGAAATACTTGTCAGACAGTGAGACGTATATGTGGCAGTGTCCATCTCAGAGACTGTGTTGGTGTTTTCAGCGTGAAAGGTAATGTCACTGGAGACGGTGTCAATCTGAAAGACACTGTCGCATTGCGGGGCGATGTCATCTCAGATACCGCATCAGTCCCATAAATCTGAGAGGTGGTCCTGATCTGAGGAGGGGCAGTCCTTGTCTTAGAAAGGGCACTGCTGGTGTCAGAAAGGGTACTGATGGTCTTAGAAAGGGCACTGCTGGTCTTAAGGGCACTACTGGTCTTAGAGGCACAACTGGTCTTAGGGGAGGCAGTCCTGGTCTCAGGAAAGGCAATCCTGGACTCAGAAGGGGCACTGCTGGTCTTAGGGGTCGTCCTAGTCCCAGAAGGATCACTGCTGGTCTCAGAAGAGGTAGTCCTGGACTCAGTAGGGGCACTGTTGGTTTCAATAGGGGCAGTCCTGGTCTCAGGGGCAGTGCTGGTCTCAGGGGCAGTGCTGGTCTCTGGGGCTGTATCAGGGGTACCAGAAACCTCAGAGAGAGTTGTAGCCTTAATGGTAGTGGCAACCTCAAATATAATGCTGTTGTCACTCTCAGTAGCTGTCTCTGAGGTGATGTCAATAGTGGTCTCATTGACAGCGAGATTCTCAGTAACTGACTGAGAGGTAATCTCACGCTGTGAGACAGTGACAGCCTAAGGGGCAGTGGTGGTTCCAGAGGTGGTGCTGGTCTCACTTTCAGTGGTGTTCTCAGTGACTTCTTTAGAGTTAAACTCACTCTCTGGGGCACTTCCAGTCTGTTGAGCCGTAGTGGTTTCGGGAGCAGTATTGGTCTCAGTGACATTGGTGTTATCGGCAGTGTCAATGGAAGATTTAATCTCAGAGACAGTTGTAGACGCATTGAGGTTGGCATTCTCAAATGCAATATCGTCGTTATTCTCAGCAACTGTCTCTGAGGTAATCCCAGTCTCTGAGATGCTGGCTGGCTGAGGGTCAGTGGTGGTTTCAGATGAGGTCCTGGCCTCAGTGACACCATTATTCTCAGTGACTGTCTCAGAGGAAAGCTCACTTTATGATGCAGAGCCAGTCTGGTGGGCACTGGAGGATTCAGAGGCAGTGAAATTCCCAGGAGTGCAAGTAACCTCAGAATCGGTTGTAGACTCACTGGTACTGGCAACCTCATATGTAACCTCTGTGTAACCATGACTGAGTGTTTCACATATTCTCTCCTCCTCTGAAACAGTGTCCTTCCACGGTGTATTGGTGATGTTGCATCATGTGCTGATTTTGCTATCATTAATAGTCTCTCTTCAGATAACAAATCAACGGTATTTACTATGTCCAAAATATTGTCGATTTCATATCCGTTGTTGGTGGCATCTTGGTCAGTGGCTGTCTCAATGACTGTCTGAAAGGTAACATCGCTGTCTGAGAGAGTGTCAGTCTGAGATTCACTGGTAGTTTCATCGATGGTGCTGCTCTCATTGGCGGTGGATTCCTCAGTGACTGCGACAGAAGTATCGTCAGTCTCTGAGACTGTGCCAGTTTGAGAGGCAGTGGTGTCTTCAGATGTGGTGCTGCTCTCTCCAGCAGTGGTTTCCTCAGTGACAGTCTCAGAGGGAGCATTGGTCTCTGAGTCAGTGCCAGTCTGAGAAGCACTGTGGGGTTCACCGGTGGTTCTGCTCTCACTGGCAGTCGATTCCTCAGTGACTGTGACAGAAGTATCTTCAGTCTTTGAGGAAGAGGCAGTTTGAGAGGCAGTGTTGGCTTCACCGGTGGTTCTGCTCTCACTGGCAGTCGATTCCTCAGTGACTGTGACACAAGTATCTTCAGTCTCTGAGGAAGAGGCAGAGCTGGTTGTTGTTTCCTCAGTCACAGTCTCAGAGGTAACATCAGTCTCTGAAACTCTGCCAGTCTGAGGGCCAGTGGAATTTTCAACAGGGGTCTTCGAGGCAGTAGCAGTCTCAGGTACTGTGGCATAAAAAAGAAAGCAGAAACAACATAAGTAAACATGAGTATAATGGTTACTCTCGACCACTGATCATTACAGCATAAACCAGAAACTGAAGTACTTCATGATACCTTTCAAACCTTCGGTTGTTTCAGAGGTGGTGCTGCTCTCATCGGCAGTGGTGGTGCTGGTTTCTCCAGCAGTGGTTTTCTCAGTGGCCGTCTCAGACATGTCGGTCTCTGACACAGAGCCAGTCTGAGAATCTTTGGTAGTTTCACCGGTGTTGCTGCTCTCAACGGCAGTCGATTCCTCCGATACTGTGACACAAGTATCTTTAGTCTCTGAGGAAGAGCCAGTTTGAGTGGCAGTGTTGGCTTCACCGGTGGTGCTGCTCTCAACGGCAGTCGATTCCTCAGAAGAATCCTCAGTCTTTGAAGAAGAGCCAGTTTGAGAGGCAGGGGTTGGTTCCGGGGTGATGCTGACTTCAACAGCAATGGTTTCCTCAGTGGCAGTCTCAGAGGGAACATTGGTCTCTGAAACTGTGCCAGTCTGAGGGCCAGTGGAAATATCAGCAGGAGTTGGAGTCTGTGAGGCGGTGTCAGGCACTGTGGAAAAAAAAAGAAAAGGGCAGAAACCGTATAAGTATATATTTATATCAGTATCATGGTTAAATGTCAATATCTATTAATAATCAGTAGATCATAAAGCAGAAATTGAAGTATTTCATACCTTTGACAGCCGGGCTAGCCCTGAAGAGAGCATCTTCCTCCTCATCAAGAATGACCGCAAGCCCTAGAAAAGCAAGAAAGAAAGACAATCATTATTGGTTTAACAGGGTCTCTGCCAATATCATAATATCAAATTTAAGACCTTTTAAGACCTTTTTAGGACCATTAAGTATTCAATTTAAGACCTATATTGCAATATCAAAAACACACCTAAAATGAAACATGAAGATTTATGTGTGAATTGTTGAATCATTCATTGAAAATAAATATGATCTGTTGTACAAGATGTTACATTTTCTCGTAGTGTGATCCAAACCGTGAGATTTGTCATCCGTTACACCACTACTTAGTATTATACTACTCAAAATACACTCAAAATACAGCAGGTTCCTGTTGGCGTACACAGGTGTTCATTCATCACGAACCATTCATGTTGCCTCCATTTGCCAGGTGAGTGAAATTATATACTTATATACCCTCTCTCTAAATGTATTTGTTTTATTTAAGAGCATTTATCATTTATATTTTTCTTTAGACCATTTACAATCACATGATGGATCATTTACAGCAATGGTTCTCATAGTGGGGGTCCCTGAGGGGTCACTAGACAATGACAATAAATCTATTTCTTTTTAATAAACCATAAAAATTACTATATTTTATCCATAACCTACTGAAAATAAAAGTTTATAGTTACTATATACTACTGTTTATAATTTCTATAGTAGCTAATTTAAGGGATTTTACTGAAATCCCATTCAAAAAGCCCATTGACTTTAGGACGAGGGAACCGGAACTGCTAAAATGCTAACTCGCTTCCGGGTTTTTGCATACAACTTGACGTCATTGTTCCTCCACTCTATTTTGCTTGTGATTTGACTTACCTTGATATCTGTCATTGCGGCGTGGCAGTTGACTCTTGCCTGGCTTGTCGTTGACTGTTGGGAAGAAAAAGCCATTTAATAACTTATTTTACAAACAAACACATTCCTTTACTGCAAAAATGCTTTTCTAACTTATAGTTTTGTCTTGTTTCTAGTCCAAATATATATAAAAAAAAATTAGACAAGCCACAAATATTGTCTTGTTTTCAGAAAAAATAAAGTGAATCTTTAAAACAAGCAAAATAATCTTGTTTTTCTTTTGATATGAGATTATTTTGCTTGTTTTAAGTAAAAACTCACTTCATTTTGACTCATTATTTCTGAACTCAAGACAATATTTATTACTTGTCTACAAAATGCTTCTTAATTTAAGAATTTTTTCATGTTCGGACTAGAAACAAATTTTTTTTGCAGCGTTTAAATGTCAAAATCGTCCTTTTAACGTACATTGATAAGATAGAAATGTAAAAGTACCCAAATAAATACCTTTGACAGCCGGCCTAGCCCTGAACAAAGCATCCTCCTCCTCAAGAACAGCAGCGAGGCCTAAAAGACAGCAGGAAAACATGAAGACATTAACATTTTGCGCTCAATGACACATTTAAAGGGATAGTTCACTTAAGTTTACTCCCTATTTACTCAGACGTAGTTCCAAACTTGACTGTGTTTCTTTCTTTTGTTGAACACTAAAGATATTTAATTAAAAAATGTAAAACATGTAACCATTGACTTTTATAGTAGGAAAAACAAATACTGTAGAAGTCAATGGTGGTAATATTTTTGTGTAAAACAGAAGAAAGAAGCTCAAACAAGTGAAGATTGAATAAATGATCACAGAATTTTACATTTTGGCTGAACTACCCCTCAAATGGAGATCATTTGTTGCCTAAATAACACATTATTAAGAGGTAAACTGAGTTTAAATCTTTAAATAAATGCTTAGATTCTGTATTTACCGTGATGCTTTCTGAAGAAAATCTTCTTCTTCGTCTGTTTGCCTTTTGTATTCTCCATTTCCACCATAAATGTGTCAATATTCATTCAGCAAGATATATTAGTATCCGTAGATTCACAAACACTAGTAGTAAAGGCTGATTCACGTTAACAAATGTTGGAGATTTTGACTGTCTGGAGCATATAGAAGTTCCAAGCATTCTAAATGTTCCGTGACATCATAGCAGAGCTGCATGATGCGGCTGCAGTTTGAAAACAAACATCTAGCTCTGATTCTCTAATATTCAAGTCAATAAGTGCTTCATTGGCATAAAAATGCTACAAAGGTGTGGCCAAAGCAATTATAAAGTTTATATTAAGAAAATAACATACATATATAATAAAAACACAGTAAATTGTAGTAGTAGTAGTAAAAAAGATATATAAATATATATAAAGTGGACATTTTTCTCAAGTTTCTGTGTGTATGTTCAGTAAATCTACTTTTATGGGAAATAATATGTTCTTTGTATTGCCTTTAAAGTGAAATAACTGAACGTAAACATAGATATATGTAAAATATATAAAAAAAAAAATATATATATATATATATTAATAATATATAATATTATTCACTATATATAATATTATCCAATATATCATATTCAATATAACACTATTCATATACATTAATAAAAAATATTAATAGATCAGAATAAACTACATTTAATGATCAACATTTTGATAAAACAGAAATAAAAACCATTATAATCAGTATATTTACAATGATTCATTTATAGTAATCTAGATCTAATCTATTATTCACTCTCATCTCCTCCTAATGGCAGTCTAATCTGCTTTCAGTACTGTTTTGACACTAACCCAGCCTTTTAATCTATATAAAATAAATCTAGACCTGTATAAGACTAAAATTATTTAATTTATTTGCCAAAAAAAAAAAAAAAAAAAAATATATATATATATATATATATATATATATATATATATATATATATATATTATATATATCCTGGATACTATTGGATATGCAATATTATATTTGTGCATATACATTAAATTAGTCAGTACTGAAGCCAAATCTGGAGCTTATCTAACAAAATAATTTACAGTAATGGCTCAAAAATTAGCAGACCAAATGTATATGTTATGGAAAAATATTAAATAACATTTTCAAAAAATAGCACAAAAAAGACAAGAGAAAGACAGGGATTTTTTTGTTGAAATGTTGTAGTTAGTAATTTATTTTGCAATAATTTCCATTTCTAAAGATGTTCTGTGACTAAAATATTTTATATTATATTTTTATATAATATTTTTAATAAATATACCTGTTTAATAAATTTGTTTTGTTCAAATGTACCAATATATATTACCTATATTCACTGAGAAATTGATACAAATATTCATTTTCAAAATGGGGTGTACTCATTATATATTCATATGTACAGTTGAAGTACTATATTTTAAATTTCTGTTCAGAGAGGTCATGTTTTGATCCTCGATTGGCCTCACACAGTCAAGTGATGCGATTTCACAGGTCAGAGTTCACCAAGCTTGAACTTTGCAACACAGCAAACTGCGAAACTTGTCACATGAGCTTGCGTTTTCGGTCTGACGCATTTGTGTACATATGAACGGAAGTCTATGGGGAGAAAAGTCCAGTGTGACCGCAGCTTTAATTGCTAAATAAAAGCAGTTTTTAATTTTTTTAAAAACCATTTTAAGGTCAATATTATTAGTCACGACTCACTTTAAGCATTTTGTTTCATCTTGCCTAATTACCCTAGCCTGCCTAGTACACGTAATTTACCTAGTTAAGCCTTTAAATGTCACTTTAAGCTGCATAGAAGTGTCTTAAAAAATATCTAGTAAAATATTATTTACTGTCATAATGACAAAGATAAAAGAAATCAGTTATTAGAAATGAGTTATTAAAACTATTATGATTACAAATGTGTTGAAAAAAAAAATCTTCTCTCCGTTAAACAGAAAATGGGGGAAAAAATAAACAGAGGGACTAATAATTCTGACTTCAACTATATATCCTGAGCACTGGACTGTATATAGCTACTTTTAAGAGCATGGCGTAATCTTAAGCATGGTGTGGGCCACTGTTCATATTCCTTACATGCCATCTGAGTCTGTGCAGATTACATTATTATGTGTACATAACATTTATATTGATTAAACAGGATGACATTGTTTGACTACTGATGTCCATCAATACATAGACTAATTAATAGTCCATGTATTACAAGATAATTTAGCATATTAAAACAACAGATTCAGAATTTATATTTTAAGACTGATTTCCAAACATATAAATATATATATATATATATATATATATATATATATATATATATATATATATATATATATATATATATATATATATATATATATATATATATATATACAGTTTAAGTCAGAATTATTAGCCCCCTTTTAATTTATTTTTTATTTTTAAGGACAAAATTATTAGCCCCTTTAAGCTATATATTTTTTACGATAGTCTACAGAACAAACCATCATTATACAATAACTTGCCTAATTACCCTAACCTGCCTAATCACCCTCATTAACCTAGTTAAGCCTTTAAATGTCACTTTAGGCTGTACAGAAGTGTCTTAAATAATATATAGTCTAATATTATGTGCTGTCATCATGGCAAAGGTAAAATAATTCAGTTATTAGAAATGAGTTATTAAAACTATTATGTTTAGAAATGTGCTGGAAAATTCTGCTTTCCGTTAAAAAGAAATTGAGGAAAAAATAAACAGGGGGGCTAATAATTCTGAATTTAACTGTATGTATATATATATATATATATATATATATATATATATATATATATATATATATATATATATATATATAGTTACCCACCTTTTTCTGCACATGACGACTGGTTTGGGGAACTTGCATTAAAAAGATACTAATAACTTCAAATAACAGGGTTTTTTTTCCACAAATAATTTATACACATAATAATAACCGAGTGAGAGGCACATTTGGCTTCGTGCTTTATTATTGTTTGTCATGAAAATAATGTTAGGCTTAGTAGGCTATGTTAACTTGACATTATCTATTTATTAGCATCAATATCTAGCTATCTAAAGTTATTCTTCAGTTTCTTCCGTAATTATATTGCTACGTAAAGGCTATGAATGAACTCAGAGATGAATAATGCAGCTCATTGTAATCACAAATAATGGCACATTTTTACAGTTAAATGGGATTAATTATCCGCTATGATCCACGCAAAGCAATTCAAAGCCTCAAATAGCTCAGTCATATCAAACG